GGAACCGACTACTTTCCAGCTCTGATCTTCCTGACGTGTGTCCGTGCCCTCCAAATGCTTAGCACCCGTGCTCATTTCCCGCTCTCCAGCACCCACTCCCTGGGAGTCATCCACGTTCTTCCTCATTATCTGCTCTCTCGCCCAGGCCTTCTCTCTGCCTGCCTGTGCCATCTTTTCCGCCTTACTTAGCTTCTCGGCGTCTTGCCGGTTATAATAAGCTTGAGGACACCAGTAATATGTATGGCCGGCCTCCTCACAGAGATTGCATCGGATGCCCCTTTGGCAGTCGAGCGTGGAGTGCCCTTTGCCACAGCAGCGTGAACACAACTGCGTGGTGCACGTCCTCCTGTAATGTTCATAGGAACCACAATGGTAACATGCGGAAGGTTGCCCGCTGTACCTGGTGATTCCATGTTCTGCTCCCAGAAAGAAATACTTTGGGATCTTCCCTTGCCTGTTATCCTGGCTCTGATTTTTAAAGGACACCACACAACGGTACTCGCCCGTCCAAAAACCCTCCTCATCGACCCTTTTATATGGCCCGTTGAGTATCACGGCATACCTGGAGACCCACCAGGCGACATCCTCCTCCGGGATGGTGGTGGTGCAAAAGATCACAGTCAGGATTCTGCTGTCTTCCTTGAAGAGGGGGGCTACCTCGAAACCTTCCAATAAGGAGGGGTTCGCCCTTTGTGCCGCTCTACACTTTGCCCAAAATTTCCAGTAGGCTAGCTCAGAGGCTAGACACACGTCGGTCTCCCTAGACCCCGGTAACTGAATCACAGCCACGACCTGTTCTTTTTTATTCTTTAGGACCTCCCTCATAAGAGTCTTTGTCAGATAGGTCCTAGTGTCTCTGTTGGGGTCAGATCCAACGTATCGGAAGCGGTCCACAAACCTTTTTCGGGGGTCCCTTGTATCTGAAGCGGCCTCGAGGTAGTGCGCGATGTGCGCATCCTCCTCTTCCTCAAAGGCCGCTCCAAATAAAGGGCCTCCCATCCTCCCGGTGTCCGGTTCTCTCTGATTGTTAGCAACACTGGCATATGTCTTGGGTCTGGGTAGAGTACCTGTGTGTGTTTGTGTGGGTTCCCGTTCGGCAGCATCACTCAAGCCATCCCGATCCCATCCATGCAAAATGTTTGTACTTGCAGACTCCGTTCGCAGCATTTCCTTCCCACCCCGATTCGGTTCCCTTTGAGCACCCTTGGGCCTAGCCCCCCTGTCCATATCTGTCAAGGAGGTCTGCCGCCTTTGCTTTCTCCCAATCGCGAATTCTTCATCTCTCAATGAGGTTTTCCTCTCACTGAAAGCAGAAACAGAACCACAAGGCCCAGTATGGTGTTCCACGGTTTTCCCTGCCTCACTCCCCTGCCCTTCTTCACCCACTCCCATCCCTTCCCCAGCACCAGAACCCGTCACTTGACTCTCCATCCCCACCCCTCCTTTAGCACCCCTGCCCTCACTTTTGTTTTCCGGATCATGTAGTCATGGCCTCTTCTTTTCGGCCTCCCCCATCTCTCCCTCTGCACCGCTTAGAGGTTCCTGATCCTGCCCCTGTTCCCGCTCCTCCCCCGTATCAATATCTGAGAGATCACCACTCCTCTTTTCTCCCTTCTTCTGAACCTCTCCCCCTTCCCAATCCCCCGGCATTTTCTCTGAGAGTGTCACCTCACCGATTAGAGGGGGTGGCACCGAAGCACCCCCCCCCCAACCTTTGGTCCAGAGCTGTCTCAGCCATCGGGGAAGCCTCCCTTGGCTGCGTTGCATCCTCTACCGTCTGCATCTCGCTCGGTGGGACTCACTTGCTCCCCGGTGACGGCCTTTCCTCTTGCTGTTGCTTCTTGATCTTCATCCTGTTCTGCAGCATTATGATCATCTGATCCAGCCACTCCTTAAGCCTGTCTCGTGTCATCATAGATGTATCATAGAGACGTTCCCAAAAGGATGGGGTTTGATGTTCTGGAGCCATGTCCCACGTCCTTTTTATATCTTGAATGATCCTCCCCATATTCTTTTCCTCCAACCACTCCAAAGGTCTAGGCTGGATTTTTTTGGGTTTTTGTGCCAGCAGCAGCCTGTACACCGCTTGTGCGGCTAGCAATTTAATAGCCGCCTTCTGCTTGTTCGTCTTCGCTTCTGCAACGTACAAGCCAGCCATCAGACTCCTCAAAATCTGTGATGTTTTGTCGAGGCATTCCCATACTTTATACTGAGCCAGTTTGGTTAAATCGTTGGTCTTTACCGAAGAGAAGGCCAGATGTGCCACCATATATCCCCACAACTTCAGCATGTCATTCTCAGCAAACTCTTTGGGGATGATGATGTCACCTACCCAACCGACAGGTGTGTGCAGGGTTTCAGTCCAGTTCTGTATCACCACGAACTCTCTGGTCTTCCATGAGCTATCGTTAGTCTCTGAGACTTCAGAATCCCCCAGCATCAACAGGTCTGTCTCCGGGTCCGTATTATAAGTACGGACGTCAAAAACCGAGTTTATCTCATCCCCCGAGGAGTGAGGGATCCCGCCTTGGCCCACTCCCTTCCCTAAACAAAACTCCATGTCGCTATCCGTTGACTCCTCTTTCTCTGATGAGAGTCCCAACTCCATCTCCTCTTGCCTCCCATTCTCCTGTTGTGGCAGTGGAGACTCTCCCCTCTGGTTCTGTGGTTCAAGATTGAGACTGGGCACCTTCCCCGTCTTGAGTCTAGAGGCTGCATCTGTCACCCAAGATAGAGGCTCTTCATGGGTTACAGCAAAGGCGTCTTTTCTCCATGCAGGGAAATCGCTATACTTTGAATATTCCCCCTTGTTCATCCTTACTGGATATCTGTCACGTGCATTGTTGGTCCTGGGGGACTTCAGTCTCCATGCCGAGACTGGTCTGACTGGGGCGGCTCAGGACTTCATGGCCTCCATGACGGCCATGGGGCTGTCTCAATGTCACCGGCCCGAACCACGAACGTGGACACACTCTGGACCTGGTTTTCTCGACGGGGCAGGAAGAGGGTGGTCTGAGGGTGAGGAATTTATGTTTGACTCCCTTGTCATGGTCAGATCACTTCCTGGTGAGCTTTGTGCTTGAGAGTGACCTCTCCCTCTGCAAGGGTGCGGACCCGATTGTGTGGGTCCACCCCCAGAGCCGGATGGATCCGGATGGATTCCTGAAGGCCCTGGGGGAGTTTCCGGCTGACAAGACTGGTGCTCCTGTCAAGGCTCTGGTCGAACTGTGGAACGGGGAGATGACCAGGGCTGTGGACATGATCGCTCCTAAGCGTCCTCTCCCACTGGGCAGAGACCGCTCTTCCCCTTGGTATACACCTGAATTGCAGGCAATGAAGCAGGTTGGGAGACGACTAGAGCGTAGGTGGAGGAGATCACGGGATGAATCTGACCGAACACACTTGAGAGCCCATTATCGGGCCTATGCTGTGGTGGTGAGGGAGGTGAAAAAGAGGTTTTTTCCCACTTCCATTGCCTCCTCACAATGCTGTCCAGCGGAGCTTCTTCGAGTGGTGCAAGGCCTGGTTTGTCCAGGTCCTAAGAAAGATCTGGTTCCACCCTCAAAGGCCCGCTGTCATGACTTTGCCATGCATTTCAGGGAGAAAATCGCTCAGATTCGTCATGAGCTAGACACCACTAGTGAATCAGAGGTTTCTGGGGAGACACCAATGCTGCTGTCTGGTCCAGAATTATTGGATGAATTTCAGTTATTGCAGCCCGATGATGTGGACAAGGTGCTTGGATGAGTACGTCCCACCACTTGCCTATTGGACCCTTGCCCGTCTTGGTTAATAAATAATTCCAAGCACGGGATTGGGACCTGGATCTTGGAAGTGGTTAATGCCTCTCTGAGGGAGGGCCAGGTACCTGCCCCTTTAAAGGAGGCGGTAGTCCAACCGGTCCTGAAGAAAGCGTCACTGGATCCAGAGATGGCCACTAACTATAGACCTGTGGCCAACATCCCGTTTCTGGGCAAGGTGTTAGAGCGGGTGGTGGCGGGACAACTCCAAGCACTCTTGGATGAAACTGATTATCTGGACCCATTTCAGTCCGGCTTCAGACCCAGGTATGGTACTGAATCTGCCTTGGTCGCGCTGTACGATGACCTGTGCAGGGAGAAGGACAGGGGGAGTGCGTCCCTGTTGGTTGTCCTGGACCTCTCAGCGGCTTTCGATACCATTGACCATGGTATCCTTCTGGATAGGCTAGCGGGATTGGGGGTCGGAGGCACTGCTTTGCAGTGGTTCTGCTCCTGTCTCAATGGCCGATTCCAGAAGGTGGTGCTGGGGGACTATGGCTCTGCACCATGGCAGCTATGCCATGGAGTACCGCAGGGGTCCATTTTGTCCCCTTTGCTGTTTAACATCTACATGAAACCGCTGGGAGAGGTCATCAGGAGGTGTGGGCTGCGGAATCATCAGTACGCTGATGATACCCAGCTGTACCTCTCGTTTTCCACCAATCCAGGTGAGGCAGTGGCTGTACTGAACCGGTGCCAGGCTGAGGTAATGGGCTGGATGAGGGCCAATAAACTGAAGCTCAATCCAGACAAGACGGAGGTCCTGTTGGTTGGCGGATCGGGCTTTGGAGAGGGTGAACTGAACCTAGTCCTGAATGGGGTTGCACTCCCTCTTAGGGACAAGGTCCACAGCCTGGGAGTGCTCCTCGACCCGGAGCTTTCATTGGAAGCTCAGGTGACAGCAGTGGCGAGGAGCGCTTTCCTTCAGCTTCGGCTGATTCATCAGCTGCGCCCCTACCTGGAGTACGACTGCCTGGCGACAGTGACACACACGCTGGTGACTTCCCGCCTTGACTTCTGTAATGCGCTCTACGTGGGGCTACCCTTGAAGACGGTCCGGATACTTCAATTGGTTCAAAATAGAGCTGCCAGGCTGCTGACGGGGACTGGGTGTTATGTTCACATGACTCCAGTCCTCCGTCAGCTTCACCGGCTTCCTATTGAAGTCCGAGCCCAATTAAGGTGTTGGTGATGACCTATAAAGCCCTCAACGGCTTGGGTCCTGGTTACCTGAAGGAGCGCTTGCATCCATATACGCCCGCCCACCCCTTGAGATCTGCGGGAGAGGCCCTTCTCCGGGAACCCTCGGTGAAAGAAATTAGGAGGGTAGGTACTCGGAGGAGGGCTTGCTCTGCGGTGGCGCCCAATCTATGATATGCGCTCCCCAGAGAGGTCCGCCTGGCGCCGTCGTTATTTGTTTTTCAGCGCCAGGCGAAGATCTTTTTATTTAAGCGTCATTTTAATTGTTAATATTATTTGCTTATTTTATCTGGCCAGGGTGACTTATTTTATATTTTTATATTGTTATTTCTTGTATTTTAACTTTATGTTGTGAGCTGCCCCGAGGCTTCGGCAAATGGGGCGGCATAGAAATGTTTTAATAAATAAATAAATAAATAAATTGTCCTTTAATTCAGGCTTAGACAATCTTTGGAGCGATGGAAACTTTCCCTTCTCATATCTTTTCCGTCCCTTAACTGTTGCACACTGGCTCATTTTCTCCTCTAGCACAGGACCCATCTGCGCCTGTCCAGGACATGCCTGTGTCTCTTCTCCCATTTTTTGAAAAACCAGGTTTACTTGTGGATTGGAGTAACTGTCCCAACAGAGAGAACCTCTTCCTTCTAAAAATGCTGTCAACATTTTATATTCTTGCTCCAGTGCTATCCTGATAGGCTCTGTCTGTTTCAATTTTTCTTGAAGCTCTTGCACCCCTTCTTCAGTCCCCCTGCATCTAATTTCTATCTCCACCTCTTCTTCTTGCAATACAATTGCCTGCCATTTCTCCTTCAGAACATCCAGCCACTTCAGAACATCAGCTTTAAATGTTTCACACTGCTGTCAATCTGTGACAGGGACTTCTCTCTCTTGCAGCATGTTCCCTGAGTGCTCATACCGCTCCTGGACCTCCACCCCCATGTCCCCCTTTCTAGAACCAAGAACCCGTTGCTGGGGTCTTTGTAAACATTGCCCTATTTCCATTGACTCAGCCTGATTCCTAAAGTAAAGTTGTTCCTTATCTGTAAACTGCATGGCCTGAGGCTGTTGCGAAATTTTCTCCAGCATGTTTCAAGGATGAGCTGTGCAGGAAAAGCTGCTCAAAGACAGGATTTTCGAAAATCGCCCTCTTTTCAGTGGAACTTTAGCCGTATAGTAGGGTTAAGGGTCTGCACCAGGGTAGGGTTCAGGTTAGAAAAACGAGATGTCCAGGTATGATCTTGATGGTTGGAATATGTTTAGCATGTGCAGAAAGGATGAGCTGTGCAGAAAAAGCTACTCAAAGACAGTATTTTCAAAAATCGCCCTCTTTTCAGTGGAACTTTTGCCGTATATTAGGGTTAAGGGTCTGCACCAGGGTACGGTTAGTGTTAGAAAAACGAGGTGTCCCAAAGTGATTCTGATTGTTGGAATGTGTTCAGCATGGGCAGAAAGAATGAGCTGTGCAGGAAAAGCTACTCAAAGACAGGATGTTCAAAAATCGCCCTCTTTTCAGTGGAACTTTAGCCGTATATTAGGGTTGAGGGTCTGCACCAGGGTAGGGTTAGGGTTAGAAAAACGAGGTGTCTTGGCATGATTTTGATCGTCGGAATGTGATCAGCGTGGACAGAAATGATGAGCTGTGCAGAAAAAGCTACGCAAGGATGGCTTTTTCAAAAACTCCCTCTTTTCTGCGGAAATTTGCCCTATATTTGGGTAGGGAGTCTTCATGAGGCTACAGTTAGGGTAAGAAAAATGAGGCCTGCTGGTATGATTTTGATAGTTGGAATCTGTTTAGCATGGTTGGAAATCATGAGATGTGGAGGAAAATCTACTCAAGGACTGCTTTTCCAAAATCGCCCTCTTTCAGTGAAACTTTAGCCCTATATTAGGGTGGGCACCAGGGTTGGGTTTTGGTTAGAAAAACAAGGTGTCCTGGTATGAATAGTCTTGGGTGCCTTCCCCAGTCACCATTTCCAGCATACCATCAAGCACCCCAACACAGCACGGGTATCCGGGGAACTCTCGGAGCAAATGCTGTGAATTTGGAAGCATTCTACCTACCTACCCTTTCCACCACCCATAGGCCATGCGACCTATGGGTGGGCCTCCCTGGCCAATTTTGGGCATCTCGGTCTGAGTTCCTGTGCCTTCTTCAGACACCACTTCCAGCACACCATCGAGTGCTCCAATGCAGTACGGGTCCCTCTCTGAGCGAACGCTGCGGCTATGAATGCATTATGCTGACCTGCCCATTTAATCACTTTCATGGCTGTGACCCTGCCACGAAAGTCCCTGCCAATTTTGGGCACCTCATTCTCATTTTTGATTCCTTCCCACAATGCCTCTTTCAGCACACCATCGAATGCCCCAATGCATATCAGGGCCCTCTCCGAGCAAACGCTAAGAATTTGGAAGCATTTTGCCAACCTGCCCATTTAGGTCACTTTCAGGTTTTGACCCGTGGCTGGGTGCCGCAGGTCGATTTTGCACATTGTGGTCTGATTTTGGGTGCCTTCCCCAGGCGCCACTTCCAGCACCCCTTTGAATGCCCCAACATAGCATGGGTATCAGGGGCCTCTCCGAGCAAACACTGCGACTTTGGAAGCATCCTGCCGACTTACCCATTTAGGTCACTTTCGAGGCTGGAACCCCTGGAGGGTGTCACGGGCCTGTTTTGGGCATCATGGATTGATTTTGGCTGCCTTCCTTTGACATTACATCTTGGGCTCCAGTGAAAGTGCTCACACACCAGTGGTTCCAGGGGCCCACTCCGAGCAAATGCTGTGAATTTGAAAGCATTCTGCCCATCTGCCCATGTCAGCCACTTTCAGGCCCATGACCCGCAGGTGGATGTCACACACTGATTTTGCGCATGGCGGTCTGATTTTGGGTGCCTTCTCTTGTCACCACATCTAGGGCTCCAGCAAAAGTGCTCACAGGCAGAGGGTAGCAGGGGCCCTCTCTGAGTAAATGCTCTGTATTTAGAAGCAGTCAGCCGACTTTCCCATTTTGGCCAAATCCAGGGCCATGACCCATGAGTGGCCGTCGTGGGCCTATTTTGGTCATCGTGGTCTGATTTTGGGTGCCTTCCATTGACACATCATCCTGGACTCCGCCGACAGTGCTTACGCGCCAAGGGTAGCATGGGCCCTCTCTGAGCAAACACTGCAAATTTAAAAGCATTCTGCCGACCTGCCCATTTATGCCACTTTCGGAGCCCTAACCTGCAGGTGGGCATTGCAAGCCAATTTTTGGCATATTGGTCTGATTTTGGGTGCCTCTCACACACACTATTTCCAGCGCATTATCGAATGCCCCAATGTACCAGGGGCACCAGGGTCCCTCTCTGAGTGAACACTGCGAATTTGGAAGCATTTTGCCGAACTGAACATTTCTTCCACTTCCTTGGCTGTGACCCATGGGAAGGCATCACGGGCCGATTTTGGCCATCTCAGTCTAATCATTTTATTTATTTTTTTATTAAAACATTTTTATGCCGCCCCATTCGCTGAAGCCTTGGGGCGGCTTACAACAAATAAGTTAAATCATCATAACATTTTAAAATATATAAATTAAAATAAATTACAAATATACAATATAAAATAAGCCGCCCTGGCCAGAAAAAATCAATAATATTAACATTTAAAATGCTGCTTGAATATAAAGGTCTTCGCCTGGCGCCAAAAATCAAATAACGACGGCGCCAGGCGGACCTCTCTGGGGAGCGCATTCCATAACTTAGGTGCCACCGCTGAGAAAGCCCTCCTCCGAGTAACCACCCTCATAATTTCTTTCATGGAGGGCTCCCGGAGAAGGGCCTCTCCCGCCGATCTCAGGGGGCAGCTGGGCATATATGGATGTAAGCACTCCTTCAGGTAACTAGGACCCAAGCCGTTTAGGGCTTTATAGGTCATCACCAATACCTTGAATTGGGCCCGGACTTCAATGGGAAGCCAGTGAAGCTGACGGAGAACTGGAGTCATGTGAGCATAACGTCCAGTCCCCGTCAGCAGCCTGGCAACTCTAATTTCGGGTGCTTTCGAGAGGCAGCATTTCCAGCACACCATTGAAAGCCCAAACGAAGCACTGATATCAGGGGCACTATCTGAGCAAACATTGTGATTTGGAAGCATTCTGCTGACTTGCCCATTTCGCCCACATTTGTGGGCTGTGATATGCAGGTGAGCACTGTTGGCTGATTTTGGGCATTGCACTCTGATTTTGGGTTCCTTACCTTGACATCACATCCAGGGCTCTGACGAAAGTGCTGATGCCCCAGTGTACCAGGGGCCCTGTTTAGCCAACACTGCGAATTTGGAAGCATTCTGCCAACCGGCCCATATCGGCCACTTCAGTCAGGGCCATGACTGAAATGTGTCATGGGTGTCACAGGCCGATTTTAGGCATTGCAGTCTGATTTTTGTTGTCTTCCCCTCACAGCACTTCCAGCGCACCATTGAATGTCCCAACATAGCACTGGTATAAGGGACTCTTTCGGAGCAAATGCTGTGAATATGGAAGCATCCTGCTGACCCGCCCATTTTGGAACTAGTGGGGCCATGTCCTGTGGGTGTTCGTTTCGGGCCAATTTTGGGTATCAGTCTGGTTTTGGGTGCCTTCCCCAGACACCACTTCCTGCATACCATTGAATGCCCCAACACAGCACGGGTAGCAGGGGTCCTTTCTGAACAAATACTGTGAATTTGGAAGCATTCTGCTGAGCTGTCCCTTTTGGCTATTTTTGGGGCCATCACTCATGGGTGGGCGTTGTGAGCTGATTTTGGGCATCACGGTCTGATCTTTGGTGCCTTCCCTTGACACCACAAATGGGATTACATTGAAAGCACTCACATACCAGGGTTACCAGGGGAGATCCCTGAGCAAATGCTGTGAATTCGGAAGCATTCTGCCAACTTTCCCATTTTGGCCACTTTCTGGGCCATGACCCATGGATGGGTATCAAAGGCCGATTTTGGGCATCGTGGTCTATTGCGCTTCCATGGGAGGTGTTTGAGGCCCCATTGGTGAAGGTGTTCAAGGATAGGATACACTTGAGCATGGTGGCCATGACGTGAGCAGAGCCGGCTGGAGCCGGGTGTCAGACTAGATGGACTCAGAGGCCCCTTCTGAGTGGATGACACTGTTTGTGTTTCTGTTTCTAGCGGGGGCAAACGTTGTAAATATAGGAGGATTGTGCCAATCTACACATTTACGCCAATTTTGGGGCTCTGACCAGCGTATGGGCGACGTGGGGCAATTTTGGGAAACTCTGATTTTGGGTGCTTTCTCCTGATACCACATCTAGCACAACATTGAATGGCCCAACGTAGCAAGGGTATCAGGGGCCCTCTCCAAGAAAACACTATGGATTTGGAAGCATTCTGCCAACCTGCCCAATTTTACCATTTTTGGGGCCTAGACCCAATATAGGACTATAGTTGCTTTGACAATACACTGATTCCAAAAAAGCCTTATTGAGTAGCTTTTTCTGCACAGCTCATTATTTCTGCCGATTCTAAGCATATTCCCACCATCAAAATCATACCAGGACACCTTGTTTGTTTAACCCTAACACTACCCTGGTGAAACACCCTAAACATAATATATGGCAATAGTTCCTTTGAAAATAGGCAGATTTTGAAAAAGCATTCCTTGGATAGATTTTCCTGAAAAGCTCATCATTTCTGCCCATGTTAAACACACTGCAACCATCAAAATCATATGACAACACCTCGGTTTTCTAACCTTACCATGGTAAACACGCCTAACCCTAGTATAGGGCGAAAGATCCACTGTAAAGGGGGTAATTGTGAAGAGCATTTCTTGAGATTTTTTTCAAAAGTTAATCATTTCTGCCCATTCTAAACAAATTCCAACCTTCAAAGTCATACCATGACATGACGTTTTTCTAACATTAACCCTAATCTAGTGAAAACCCCTAAACCTAATATAGCGCTGAAGTTCCACTGAAAAAAAGGGCAATTTTGAAAACTCCTTCCTGAGTAACATTTTTTCCTCAGCCGCTTATCTCAGCCCCTTCAAAACACATTCCAACCTTCAAATTCATACCAGGACACCTTGTTTTTCTGACCTGAACCCTACCTTGGTGCCTAATGCAACCGTAATATAGGCTAAAGGTCCATTGAAAAGTGGTAGATTGTGAAATAGTTGTTTGAGATTTCTTGCACAGCTCATCGTTTCTCCCCATTCTAAACACATTTCAAGCATCAAAATCATACCAGGACACCTTGATTTTTTAACCCCAACCCTACCCTGGTGCACACCTCTAAGGCTAATATAGGACTAAAGCTCCACTGAAAAGTGGGCGATTTTGAAAAAGCCCTACTTGAGGTGATTATTCTGCAAAACTCACCATTACTGCCCATGCTAAACACATTCCAAGCATCAAAACCATACTTGGATGTCTCCTTTTTCTAACCGTAACCCTACCCTGGTACACAACCCTAACGCTAATATACCGTAAAGTTCCACTGAAAAGAGGGCGATTTTGACATACTGTCCTTGAGTAGCTTTTTCTGCCCACCTCATCATTTCTGCCCATACTAAACCCAATTCAACCATAGAAATCATACGATGACATCTCATTTTTCTAACCCAACCCTACGCTGGTGCACACCCCTAACCCTAATATAGGACTCAAGTTCCACTGAAAAGAGGGCAATTTTGAAAAAGTTTTGAATGAGATTTTTCTGCACAGTTCATCATTTCTGCCCATTCCTAACACTTTCCAACCAGCAAAGTCATACCCGGACACCTAAAGTTTTTAGCCTCACCCTTTACTTCTGCATAGCCGTATCCGTACTATAGGGGTAAAATACCACTGAAAATAGGGTGATTTGGAAAAACCATTCCTGGAACAGATTTTTCCACACAACGCATCATTTCTGCCTGTGCTAAACACAGTCCAAGCATCAAAATCATACCAGGACACCTCAATTTTTTAACCTCACTGTACCCTGCTACACAGCCCCATCCCTGATATAGGGGTAAAATACAACTGAAGGGGGTCAATTTGGAAAAAGCCTTGAGGAGATTTTTCTGCGCAGCTCATTATTTATGCCCATTCTAAGTACCTTCCAGCCATCAAAATCAGTGTAGGAGACCTTGTTTTTCTAACCCTGACCTTACCCTGGTGCATACCCCTAACTCTAATATATGGCTAGGCTTCCACTGAAAAGAGGGGCATTTTTTAAATGCTTTGTTTGAGATTTTCCTGCTTAGCTCATCATTTCTGCCCACACTAAACAGACTGGGATGCCTTGTTTTTCTAACCCTAACCCTACCCTGGTGCACACCCCTAACCCTAACAGAGGTCTAAAGTTCCACTGAAAAGTGGGCAATTTTGAAAAGGCCATCCTTGAAGTTGTTTTTCTGCACAGCTCATCATTACTGTCCATGCTAAAAACATTCCAACCACCAAAATCATACTGGGATGCCTCTTTTTTTGTAAGCCCAACCCTTCAAATCCTTTTATGTCGCAGTGCCATATTAATTGCTAGGAATATTTAATAGCTAATAGTCATATGGTTATGAGTTACCTGAGGTATCAGAGGTAATATCCCTCCATATGGCAGTTGTTACGGAACAGGTATGTGTGCCTGAGTGCATGGTTGCATTTTTGTCTCTTCCTGCATCCCACAGATGCATTTAGGACAATACATTCAATAACTGCCAATACTAGGAGCCTCGTGTCCTTTTCTATCCTCCCAGTTTGGTTTTTGCTGATGTATCAAGCATTTGTGATCCCCTGTTGAGGAACTTCCATATTTGCCCTCCCGCCCCTTGAGATCAGCAGCAGAGGCCCTCCTCTGGCAACCCTTCGTGAAAGACATTAGGCGGGTGGGTACCCGGAGGAGGGCTTTCTCTGCGGTGGCGCCCTGACTATGGCATGCGCTTCCCAGAGAGGTCCGCCTGGTGCCGTTGCTATTTGCTTTTTGGCGCCAGGCCAAGGCCTTTTTATTTAAACAATATTTTAATAATTGTTAATATTATTTATTGGTTTTAATTTCTATAGCCAGGGTGAATCTGGATTTTATATGTATTATTTATATGACTGTTTATTATGCTGGAAGCCGTCCCAAGGCTTATGCGAATGGGACAGCATACAAAAACTCCAAATAAATAAATAAACAAACTACCCCACCCCTTCATATGAGTATGAATTTCCAAGAATCTGACTCATAGATTCTACCACAAACTCCCTTGAACTGGAGTTTGTGGACTTCCTGACTACTGTTTATTTCTGTAATTTTAGTAAATATAAGCATGGAAAATATGACGAATTAATAAAACCACCAAGTGAAGCTCTGCAGTTCCCTCATAACCTAATGCATGAAAACATGCAAGGTGGTTGCATAGTCTTGGCATATTTGTGCATTTGGGGAAATTTGTTATTTTTATGAATTAATGAGCAGATGATGAAATGGAAACTGCCTGACAATCAGAAATGTAGACAGAGTGGATTTAATATGTTCATACTTTGTAACTTGTAACTTACAACAAAATTGGTGTGGCTATTTGTACTGAACACTTCATTAGCTGTTTAATTATATTTTTTTTTTGGTTTGTGACTTCAGTCATGTTAAAAACACTCTTTCCTTTCCTTTGGAAGAGAAAAATATTCCAAGCATGCAGAGAGTTCTTTTTGAAACTTTATTGCAATAAAGGAAGTTGGAGAGGTTTCCTTCCCTTCTTCCAGCTCAACTCAACACATGTTCACATCTCATTTTTATGCCCTGCCCCTGGCTGCTTCTCCCTCCTCTTTCCCTCCCCCCATTGGCCAGGGTACTGGGAGGTCACAAATCTTTTCCGTCCGCATACCCTGTTCTTCCTTCCCACTTGGTTCCTCCCTGGTGAATTATAATAAGCTTATTTCCTATGCAGGGTGTGTTTGTTAACAGTCAAGAGGTCTTCACTGAGCAAGTTTCCTGCTATCTTGTCTGAGTGCCAGTTTCCTCACACTCTGTACTACCTGATCTCAGCCCCCCCATCCCTTTAGGCTAAGGAATTTTCTTTACCTTTTTTTTTAAACTCTTTCTTGTTTCAAATCATCCTTTCATCCCTATCATGTCCTGCCCCATCTTTATTTTTCAAAAGTATTTTTTCCCTCTCTTATTCAGAAATCATTGCTCAAGTAGCTTGTAATGCACTTTGCAGGGGATCCAACTTCTGTTTGCAAATTCAGTATGGATGAGCCCTGGTTGCGATGAGTCTCAAACAGATCTGGCTCCTCACATAAAAAGCAAAATATCATAATCTTGGATGTGATACACTGATTTATTCTTTATAAGCAAGGTCAGACTAGAGTAATATTGAAAAATTCCTCTTAACTTTGACAGAGCAGAGTTGGTTTAATAATCATATCAATAATCATATCTAAGCTATACATAATGTATGTATTAGACCAGGGTACCTGAAGGACCGCTTTCTCCCATATGTACCTACCCAGACCCTAAGATCTGTTTCAGGTGCCTTTCTGAAAGAGTCATCCTCCAAGGAAGTAAGAACAGCAGCTAACTGAAGAGGTGCCTTCTTAGTAGTTGTGCCCCATTTGTAGAACAGCCATCCAAAAGCAGCTTGCCTGGCATCTTCGCTACAATCTTTTCAGTGCCAGGCAAAAGCAGTTTTATTTTGTAGGCACATTAATAATTGATTTTATTCAGAAAATTTTTAAGTTGTGCTAATATGAAAAGTTTTAAATTACGGGCCCTCAGCTGTGCATTGTTTTGTCTTATTTGTATATTGTATTTTAATTACTATTTTATTGTTATTATATCCTTTATGAATTGTGATCTACTTTGAGGGGCTTTGGGCTGATTTAGAGGATGACTCCATAAATAAATAAATAAATGAGTGAGTGAGTGAGTGAGTATGAGTTAGCTTCAAAAAGGAGCAATCCTTATTGCTACACACTATGGAAATATGTAACTACCAAATATTATTGCAAAACATGCACCAAAGTAGCTAGTTACAGGGAGTATTTATAAAAAGCTGTCTAAGGCCAGGTCAAGCTGTGCTTTCTGTTTTGGCTGGCAGTGTCTCTCCAGCATCTCCGTGTCTCCAGCATCACCTGCTACCTGATCCTTTTTAACTGGATACACCAGTGATCAAATATGGAGCTGCCTGCCTGAAAAACGTGTGCCATATTATTGAGCTATGGTCCCTCATCCCCAAAGTTACTTTATGAGAAATGCACGTGCCAGACTTGAACAGGGCAAGTGATAATTTTCCTGCAATAGATTTCTTTTTCCTGAAAGTAAGCCACATGAAGCATGAAGAGAGTTACAGTTTTAACCAAGATAATGGGCACAACCCATGTAATTGGAAAAAATGTACAAAAGTCTGAATCGTTTTTTTTTTTTTTTTAAATTGAGATAACCAAATGTGAAATAAGGAAGGCAGGAGTGCCCCAATGCACAGTGATTTCAATTACGCAGCATTTGAATGAATTCACAGCACACTATCATCACTTCCTAATCACAAATGGATCTCCCAAGACCAGTCCAGTATAACCACTACAGCTTGTTATGCCAAACTGTTTCAGGAAAAATGGCTGTAGAAAAATGCTTCAGAAAAAAATAGCTTCAAACAAGAAGAAAGGCACAAAGACAGATTCATGCATGCCAGGAACTTGATGGCCCTTGGCTTGGCCTCTCTTTCCTGCTGCCTACTGAAAGCCCAATCGTTCTTATGCTTCTCATGTGAATTATGTTCTATGTCAGTTCAAAACCAATTTTGTTAAAGAGAACCTCGTGCTCGTAAACTGACGAGTGGATGGATTCATTTAAAATGTCAGTAGCAGGATTTGTGGGAATCTCTCTTCATCTAACAAAAAGAAAATGTTTGGAGAAATATGCCTTCTTTTTCAGTGTAATGTTCCTGCTATTTAAGCAGTGTCTTTCATGGTAGAGAATATAGCAGCAGTCTGCCAGTTAGTGGGGGAAGGGCCTGAGAAGTAAAGAGAAACATGGTTGACCATTTTAATTGGTCCTAGAGATTAAACTGAGAAAACAAATAGCATGGACCTGGAATGGAAGGTTTGGCAGATTGAGTGGAGTGAAGCATTCTTTCACTTAAAAAGATCATGTGAGACTTACCTACCTTGGTGACTGGCAGGTCTTTGCTTAGCAGAGGTGGAGAGAGAGAGAGATGGAGAAGAGAAGCCCCAAAATGCCTCCTGCTGAGTCCAGCATGTGGCATTGCATTTGACCAGAGCAGTTCTACCCCTTGCATGGCTCAGGTAAAGCTCCAAAGCGGCTTTGGTGGCAATGCCTGGAACCAGAGTGGCTTGAAGAGCAATGATCAGCATTGATTGAAAAGAAGGCCAAAAACAGAGGACCACTGGCAGGTTATACTATGTTTTGGGCATTGTTTAGAGAAAAGACTGGTCTGAGTACTTGTCCTGGCTGCAGACTGTGTCAGCTGGTTTGTTGCAGTATTACATTTAAAAGAAACAGGTTCTGGAATCTGTTAGGAAACATTAGGCTGTGGTTGTGGGTTATAATTTTGCAGAGCCATAAACATATTGGTTGGAAAAATCTTCTAATCTCAGTGTAGAAACAGTAAAGGATGTAAGTCTTGATTCATTGAATTTTAAAATTTCACATGAATGTTAACATGTCCAGCTATTTTTGATTCTACATTAATTTCATGTGGAAATGACTGCAGGAATATTTCTCTGTACTTGCAAGGCTTATATGAACAGCAGCAAAAGCCAAAGAAATGAGAAAGCAATGAAAATGACTTATTCTGTAATAATAATATTCAAGATTTCTAAACTTCAGATTTGCAGCAAAGTCCCCATACCAGATTTGGAAGGTCTTATTTTAGGAAAACTCTTTAAAAAGGTGTTTAAAAGTGCTTAATAGTATTTTTTTTCTTCAAATGAATGACCATTAGTCCCTTTGCAGAGTGTTAGCAATTGTACTGTTGGGGGAGGGTAAGCAATTAAGCCTGCCTTGATTACTACAGTGGCTTGGATCATCCATCTCTATATGTACTTGAATGTATTCCTGTGTTTAGAACGTGGAAACTGGCAGTAAAGGCTAACAACCATCACCTGCCCACTGATTTCCCCATGGAACAACTCCACCTTGACATTCACATTTTACCAGCATGCATATGTTTGGAAAACACATTTTTATAGTTATGGTATATAGTTCAACTTCTAAGAAGGAAACTGGGAGAATCTTCAAAATATTCCACAAGGCAGTATCTCCCTTCTGGGAGACAGGTATGTGTTGTGTATTTCATGATATTTGAGCATTGGTCTGCATTTGGACTTCTGTTGTTCTTCCCTTAAAATGTTTTGTCAGAAGCTACCTTATGGCTGTACACTTTCCAGTAAGGGCTGAAATGAAATTCAAAAGATGCAAAGACACACGCAGAAATAGCAAACATGCAAAATAGAAAGTTAATCGTAACTGTGACAACTGATAAATATTTCAGTTATAAATTAGCAGATTTTGGTGGGAATTAAAATATATTATTTGTTATGCGCAGGCATAAATAAATGCATTTTTATGCAGTGACATCCATGCACTAGCACTGGAATCAATTTATACCTGCAGAATAATATTGAACTGACAGAAAGATGAACAAAGCGGTCTTAGATCAAATCCAGAAATGTGTCTAATCCCATTTTAAAAGCATCTCTACTGGTGACCAGCAGCACCAACTTGTTAGGCATCTCTAAACTATGCACTGTGTGAAGAAGTACTTCTTTTGCCAGTCCTGAATCTGATGCTAATGAATTTCATTGAATGGTCCAGAGACTCATGTAATGGGAAAGGGAAGAAAACTTATTTCTGATTGCTTTCTCCACATCATGCATAATACCTCTATCATGTCTTCTTGTCACACTTTCTTTCCTAAACACTGTGATCATTCATCATATGGAAGATGCTTAACTCAGTAATCACTTTGCTCATTGTCATCTTCCCCAGCTTTACAGTACCCTAGCTAAG